GCTCTGTAGTAGAGCTTAAAGTCAGGGATGGTGATGCTTCCTGAAGTTCCTTTATTGTACAGGGTTGTTTTGGCTATCCTGGGTCTTTTGTTTTTCCATATAAAGTTGATCATTGTCATTTTTAAGGTCAGTGAAGAATTGTGCTGGGATTTTAATGGGGATTGCATTGAATCTATCTATTGCTTTTTGGCAAGAATGCCATTTTTGCTATGTTTATCCTACCTATCCAAGAGCATGGGGGATCTTTCCATTTTCTGGTATCTTCTTTAATTTCTTTCTTTAAAGACACGAAGTTCTTATTATAATGTCGTTTGGTAAACATTACCCTAAGATACTTTATGTTGTTTGTGGCTATTGTAAAGGGTGATGTTTCTCTGATTTCTTTCTCATCCCCTTTGCCATCTGAAATAGTAGAGCTACTGATGTTTTTGAGTTTATCTTGTATCCTGCTAGTTTGCTGAAGGTGTTTATCAGCTATAGGAGTTCCCTAGTAGAGTTTATTGGGTTGCTTATGTAAACTATCATATCATCTGCAAATAGAGACAGTTTGACTTCTTCCTTTCCGATTTGTATCCCCCTTGATCTCCTTTTGTTGTCTTATTGTTTTAGCTAGAACTTCTAGTACAATATTGAAGAGATATGGAGAGAGAAGGCAGCCTTGTCTTGTTACTGATATTAGAGGAATTACTTTAAGCTTCTCTCCATTCAGTTTGATATTGGCTGTTGGTTTACTATATATTGCCTTTATTATGTTTAGGTATGTTCCTGTTATCCTTGATGAAATGGTGTTGAATTTTGTTGAAGGCTTTTTCAGCATCTAGGGAGATGACCATGTGGTTTTCCTTTTTCAGTTTGTTTATATGGTGGATCATGTTGATAGGTTTTTGCATTTTAAACCATCCCTACATCCCAGGTATGAAGCCTACTTGTTCATGGTGGATGATTTCTCTGATGTATTCTTGGATTTGGTTTGCCAGTATGTTATTGAGTATTTTTGTGTCAATGTTCATGAGGGATATTGGTCTGGTTTTCCTTCTCTTATACTTAGTTTACTACCTATTTTTTGGTGTCAGGTCAATTGTCACCTCTTCTTACTCCTTATTTCTGTTTATCTTTTCCTACAAGAAACTACCTGTCTCCATACCTCTGCTCTTTATCATTTCACAGTGTGTACTTCTTCAAGGTCCTCATCACAGTAATTGCCTTGTTTGTTTGCCTCTTTGCACTCACTTGAGCATGACAGCCAGGAAAGCAGATGTTGCACCTGTTTTAATTCAGTACCAGACTTAGTAGTTAGTTAGTAGAGGTTCACTAAACATTTACTGAAGTAATGTGAGTTGGTAGGGGTTTTTCTTCTGCTTTGATTGTTTATTTATTTATTGTTAAATCTTGGTTCCTAATGAAACTTTTGGAGTGATTATTTACTCTGCTAATGGATACTAAAGCACAGGGTTATATTTTTATTTAGGCATCTTGACAAGATCTATTGAATGGATCAATTCCAGGCCATGTGAATCTCGGTGATCTTATCTTGCTGGTACCTAGATTTTTTTTTTTTTTTTTTTTACAGTGTTCTGAACCACATCTTACTGTTTTCTAGATCTGTGCTTTATGGTAGTTTCTAGTGATAGGTGACTTATTGAGGCTAGTGTGAAATGCTAGATTCAATGAATATAAAATACACATGATATTAAAACTATTACTGAAAATGTTAGAGAGATTGCTAGTAATTTTATATTGTTTATTTATTGAAATGATAAAAATCACAATTTTGATATATTGGGCTGAAACAAATATACTGTTGACAATAATTTACATTTTCTCTTTGCTTTCTTGCAATGCTGGTATCAAATCTAGAGCCTTGGCATGTGAGGCAAGGACTCAACTACTCAACTACATCTCCAGCTATTGGGTTTTTGAGATAAGATTTTTCTCCATAGCATAGACTGGTCTGAAATATGTGATACTACTGCTTGATGTCACACATGCTAGGATGATTTGCAGGCATGAACCTCCACACATAACTAAACTGTGTTATTATTATTTATAAATTTCTTTTATAATTTATTTATTTAATGTACATAAGTGTTTTGTCTGCATGTATGTATGTGCATCCTATTCATGCCTGATGCTGGCAGAGGTCAGAAGAGGGTACCAGATGCCCTAGAACTGGAGTTACAGATGGTTGTGAGCCACCATGTAGGTGCTGGAAAATGAACCTAGGTCTTTTGAAAGAGCACCAAGTCAGTGCTCCTAATTGCAGAGCCATCTCTTCAGCCCCACATACGTTTTTTTAAAACAGTGACAGGGCCAGAGGGTTTTTTTTTTTTTTAAATTCTGGGCCATTGTATAATGGAGCAACTAATAAAAAATAGCTTCCTTCTAAGTTATATACAAGAGAAATTTAAAGAATTTTAAGCAAGTTTTACATGTGTTCTAAAATACTCAATGAGGGAATTACACTTTAGTTCTTAGTTGAAAAGATGTAAAAACCGAGTATACCATGATAAACTCAACATAAACTCTATCTGTAATTATTGCCACATGCATTGTAACAGACTATGAAACTGGAATTGCTTCTACTTAACATAGGAGCATATGTTGCAAAGCAAAATTTTAGCAAAAATAGGATATTACACTGGCTAGTTTTATGTTTACTTGACACAGGTTAGAATCATTGGAGAGAAGGATCCTTAAATGAGAAAATACTTCTGTAAGATTGGGCTGTAGGCAAACCCATAGAGCATATTCTTAATTAGTGATTGATGGGGGAGGGCCTAGACCATTGTGGGTGGGACACTCCTGAGTTGATGGTCCTGGATTCCATATGAAAGCAGGCTGAGAAACAGTAAGCACCAACCTTCTATGACCTCCACATTCCTGCCCTGTTTGAGTTCCTGCCCTGACTTCCTTCAATGATGGACTATGATGTGGAAGTGCAAGCTAAATAAACCCTTTCCTCTCAAACTTGCTTTTGGTCATGGTGTTTCATCATTGCAATAGTATACCTAACTAGGACAGATATGAACACAGAAGCTACATATAAATACATACAAGTTGAATAACTATTCTTTTCATAGCTACAAAACTCACTTTGGAACTATGTCCAGCATTTGAGAAAACTGGTTGCTAAGTCTTATTCCAAAAGCCTTCAATCCCTAGTTCACTGAGCAGAGTAGTCCTCATGAGAAAGGAGTAATTATCTTCATTACCCTCTTGTTCATTCATTAATTACTGAGCAGATAGTGAGAGCCTACCATATGGTAGCTTAGATGTCTAAAGAACCACCATGATTGTGGTGGAGCAGATTTTTGGTTCTTTGTCTCTCACATCAGTACTTAGCTATCATTATTACTTGATGTGGATGGTGCTCTGAAGGTTCCTTCTTTGGAAGCGTTGTCCACTGAGTGAAGGTGTTGATATGGTAAGAAGTTAAGAGGTGGGACCTAGTAGAAGGTAAGTGGTGTATGGAGGACTTTACTCTCACTAATGGGTTAATGCTGCATACTGAGAGTGGGTAGGGTTTTGGGGGGACAAGATTGTCCTAAAAAGCCAGTTTGATCCTTCCCTTGATGCTTGGTTCTTATTGTGTCAAATGACTCCTCTGTCCCTCTTCAATAAGCTGCTCAGCATCATATGATCTTCTACTATCTTGGACTGCTATGTGTGAAATTTTTGTGAGTTAGGAGCTAAAATGAATGTGGGGTTTTCTCTGTGTGTCATGAGGAATTTGAAAGTGCAGATGCATACAATAATATAGTTCTCTGCACTATTTGTCTATTGTCAGAATGTAGGAGACACTCTCAAATACCATAGGAAGCTTCAAGCAATACAGTCAGGTGGCTTAGGGGCACTCCCAATTGTTTAAGGAGCTGGCACACCTATTCAACCCTTCTCTGAAGTCTGAGTTGTTATTCACCAATTCTGCTAACTCACCCGCAGTGACTGTATCCCACACAGCACAGACTCACTCTTTCTAGTCCTATTCTCTCATAGTCTACAATATGCACTTCTTGGTCATGCCCTTTCTCTACACATCTTTATTTTCACGGGTTTCCTTCCACTCTGGCCCCAAAGAAGAGGTTTCTTAAATATGACATTTATTTTTCCTTGAAGCTCAGCCAGTAGATGTCTCCATTACTCTCTCACAGCTAAGACCATCCCTGGCAAACCAGGTTTAATCATTTCCTTAACCGACAAGGAAGGGAATTTGATAATTTGCCTTAAAAAAAAAAAAAAAAAAAAAAAGAGCAGATGCTGTGAAGGACACGTTTCCATCCTACGTTCCGCCCCCCCCCGTACCCCCTCAAGTTTCGGTCAGAAATGAAAACTACTCCCTTCTCCCTCTTTTCCAGGCAAAAGAAAGGGCTGATTTAACTAAGCAAGCAAGATGCCAACAGCCTCCTCCTCAGAACGTCCAAGTTTCCTTCGCTCTCAGCCACCAAAAGCGCCGCTTCTCCCCTCCTTCTCGCCCACTCCTTGCCACCCCTGCAGGTTTCCGAGTCATCAGGGAACACGAGTGGGTGAAAGCACCCGCGCCACCGCCTCCTCCTCCGCCTCCTCAGTGCGCCTCGGGTTCAGCACTGGACAGCTCCCGCCCCAGCCAACAAATGGCAGTCAGCTGATTGACAGAGGCTCCGACCAAACAGGGCACAAGACGACTTGAAGCCGCCCTACAAGGGTTTGGTTGCGGCCAAGCTGTCTCTTTAAACTGGTTTCAGCTGAGAGCTGGGAGAGGCGGCAGTGTGGTTTGTGGCCAAACCTAAAGGCTCCAGTTAACCAGCTGGCTGACTGTCTGGACTCCAGAGACACGCACATCTTCAAAGAAAACCCTGGCTCCTTGGGACTCGCCGCTGCGCTCGCGGCGTGAATCTGTGTGCGCCCTTCCCTCTCTGGGAGAGGGGTCCAGGAGGGGCCAGAGTCAGGAGGCGGGAACGACCTGCCAAGGGTGAGATGATGGAGCAGCATCTTCCGCGGCTGTGGTGGCAGCATCAGCAGCATCAGCATCAGCAGCAGCTCTTGAACACACCTCAATGAGAGTGGCGGTGGAAGCAGCTGAAGAGAAAGACGTAAGCGGACTAACTATAGCTGCTGGGGATGTAACCTGTTTGGCTCAAGGCTGCGAGGTGCGTAATCCCGACCCGACCCATTGTGGAGCCAGCGCAGCCAGTATTGCCACAGGTGATTTTTGGTCTGTTCTGGCAGCTGAGCCAGCTGGGCCAATTTCAAAATTCTTATTTTAAAGTCCATCTGGACTGAGCGCCACCTGGAGAAGGAGGAAGACACCCCCTCCCCCAGCAAAAGTCTTATTAGTGATAAGAACCAAAATTTACAAAGTGACTCCTCCGGTTACTTCCTCTCTTCTGTGCTAGACAGATGGGAGCCATGGCTTACTCTTTACTCCTCTGCCTCCTGGTCGCTCATCTGGGATTGGGAGCGGTTGGCGCCAGCCTTGACCCTCCGGGACGGCCGGATTCCCCTCGAGAGAGGACCCTGAGGGGGAAGCAGCATGCCCAGCAGTTGGCGCGAGCCTCTGCCCCGGACCCCTCAACTCCCTGGAGCCGCTCCACCGATGGCACCCTCTTGGCACAGAAACTAGCTGAGGAGGTGCCCATGGACGTGGCCTCTTACCTCTACACCGGGGACTTCCACCAGCTGAAGCTAGCCAATTGCTCAGGCCGCTACGAGTTGGCGGGCCTGCCAGGGAAGTCACCGGCCCTAGCTAGCTCCCATCCCTCCTTGCACGGGGCGCTGGACACTCTGACACACGCCACCAACTTCCTCAACATGATGCTGCAGAGCAATAAGTCTCGGGAGCAGACTGTACAGGATGACCTGCAGTGGTACCAGGCTCTGGTGCGGAGTCTCCTGGAGGGTGAGCCCAGCATCTCCCGGGCGGCCATCACCTTCAGCACCGAGTCGCTGTCCACTCCTGCTCCGCAGGTCTTCCTCCAGGCCACCCGCGATGAGAGTCGTATCCTGCTCCAGGACCTGTCTTCCTCCGCTCACCACCTGGCCAATGCCACTCTGGAGACTGAGTGGTTCCATGGGCTTCGGCGAAAGTGGAGGCCCCACTTGCACCGCCGCGGCTCCAATCAGGGGCCACGGGGCCTGGGTCACAGCTGGCGGCGTAGGGATGGGCTCAGCGGAGACAGGAGCCATGTCAAGTGGTCTGCACCTTATTTGGAGTGCGAGAACGGGAGTTACAAGCCAGGATGGCTGGTAACTCTTTCCGCTGCCTTCTATGGGCTTCAGCCTAACCTGGTCCCGGAATTCAGGTAGGGCAGGGGGAGGGCACAAGTAGAATCTTCCTTTGGTTTTGCAGGTGGGCACTCTGGGAAAGCACACTTGCCTTTCGGTGATACTTAAGTCTCCAGCCTTGGAACAGAGCCTTGGGCTGAAGGATGCCCAGGATGTGGGGAGGGGTGGGAAGTGCCCGGGGTCTGTCTGCTTCAGGAACTCGTGGAAAGCTTTTCCCCGGTGTAAGGGCAGGTAACACTTGGCCTCAATCCTCCCATAGAACAAGGATGGTGTCCTGAACTTTTGGGGAGCTTGGGATGCGCCCATCAGGCAGAGTGAAGAACATCAGATGAGAGGAATTAAAAAATAAAGCGAGCTGCAGGGAGTGAGAATTCCTTGGATCTGCTCCTTTGGGGTAGCCTCTGTCCACTTCCTGTGAGTGTAGTCTGGAGCGCAAGCCTGCTGTTAGTCAGCTATCAGAGCGTGTAATTAAACCTGTGCCATCCCCTGGGCAGTTCTGGCCAGTCAGCACTGAGTCACTCCGGCAGCAGAGCCATCTCCAGGATCCAGACTTGGCAGTTTGGTCAGAGCACTCCTATTGGCTTCCCTCTCTCCTAGTCATCAGCTTTCCTTCCCTGGTGTCTTCCTTCTCTTGTTCTCTGTTAAGCACATCTGAGGGATCTCCACTAGAGTCAGGGAGGGAGGAATCAGTTCTACTCAAACAGACAACTGGGAAGAAACTTCAGCATCTCTCCCTATGGCATGGGAGGAAAGCTAGCATTTGCAAATTAGCACTGTTGTTCCTCAACCTCATGGTGAGGAACTTGTAGAAGCAGCCTTTTAGGAATGGATATAAGGAAGGAACAGAAAGGAGAGAGGAGAAACTCCAAAGATGGTGTTGGAGAGAATTGCAGGTGTACAGGATCTCACAGGGCCTCTGATGGGAAACCATGGAAAGAGAAGGTGATTGGAGTTCCTTTTATTCATTGTTCATTTAACCTTTTGGGAACTTTCAAAAACTGAGAAAATGGAGTGTGTGTGTGTGTGTGTGTGTGTGTGTGTGTGTGTGTGTGTGTATTATTTTATTTACTTTTGCTTTAGTAAAAGCAAAAAGCAGGGACAGGATTCTTACATGCTAAAACACACCAGGACAAATAAGGCACGGGCAATCAGTGAGTGCCAGAAGCTTGTCTTGGCATGACATTTACTGTAGATGTGACCCAGATGTCTTGTTTAAACTCTTTGGGCTTCAGGTACTTATCTACTAAGTGAGAGAATTAAAATGGATTGCCTCTAGATACTCATGCAGCCACAGAATTCTGTAACCTCTACTGCCAGTGACACTTGAAAGGGCATAAATGAAGAACCTCCCTTTCTTCTTTGATTCTACATGACCCCACCCCATTTTGTTTATGGTGTTTTAAAAGGTCTTATCTTATACAGCAGCAACTTTCCCACTTCAAGATAATCTCATTTCCTCCCCACTCTCTCAGGATCCTCTTAGTAAGTGCTCAGGCCAGCTTTGAATCCTTGCCACACCATTTTCCCAGAAGAGAGCTCAGCACATGCTGCCTACAGCCAAGCCTATAGCCAACAAATCATGACTGTTAGACGATCATTTCTAGAGAATCTGAGGATCAACCTCTCTTTCCCTTCTCTTCTTTCTCCCCTCCCCTCTCCCTTACCCTTCCCTCTCTCTCACCTTTTTCTTGATGTTAGGCTCTTTGTTAACTGCTTGCTAGGATTGTCTCAACTTTTCACAGAAGTCTTCTGAACTGTGTGTTAATTGTTTTCTCTACTTTTCAGTAAAGGAGTCTGAAACACAGGGTTACATTTCAAGGCTGACTGCACAGATATTAAATAGAAGAGTCAAGGTAACTAATGCAGTGTTTCCAGGGGTCAGATGTGGGACCAGGAGGAAGACCATTTGGTTTTGGAACCGTTTCTTTCCACCCTTTATTTTTCTCTTCCTCTCCCCACTCTGTCTTCCTTTGTCTGTTTGTCTTTTCTATTCATCTCTTCCTTCCTCTTTCTCACATGTTGGTGATGTAACCTGGGGTACAACACATGCTAGCCAAGGGTTCTATTACTGATTCATACCACCAGGCCCCTAGAATCTTTTCCCATGATCAGAAAGTATATGTTGTCTCAATGTGCTCAGTGCTTTCAGCCAGCCAAGGGGAAAGACTGAAGATGCCGAAGGGCCCAAGCTTGTGACAACTACACCTTTCTCGATTATGTCCAGTAAAAGTTTGTTTCTTTGAGTGCTTTCATAGTCACCAGTGGTGTTCTTCAGCTAAGGTACAGAGCCTGGCTGCCTACAGAAGCTGCTCTGGCTTAGTAGATCCACAAGGAGGAGAATCTGCTCCTGTGAACACCACCTGCTCCATATGTGTACTACCTCACCCTTGAGACCTGTGTTGAAGATGAAAAGAGAAGCTCCCTGTACAAACTAGAACTAGTCAAGGAATCACATGGTTCTACTTATTGTTTCCCAGGGACAGAGAACTACACAAGAGATGGGACTTATCCAAAAGTCATGCATGAAGTTTGTAACAGCAGTAGAACTGTGCCATAGGCTTCCTTTCACAGTTTAGAAACACACATTAGATATATCTAAGGCATGTTTCTGCAGCTCCATGCATTGAAGCTAGAGTAGAATGGGGACCCCTTTTGCTAAATAAATGCATAAACATCTTTCTGGTAATGGCTAGAACTGATTAGTACCCAGAACTGGTACAAGATATTTAAATAATCATTGCATACTAAATGTAACTGAGCTCCTTTGATTGACACACACACACACACACACACACACACACACACACACACACATATATGTATATATGTTGTTTTGTACTGAATGTTAAACCAAGGGGCTTTCCTGTAAACTGCTCTACCACTGAGGTGCACCCCTGTCCAGGGAATTTTCTTAATGGGGATGAAAGGAATTCAGGACTAATTTTGTTTTATCCTATTTTTTTCAGTAGTGGAAATTGAGACACAAAGAACTTAAGACATTTCTCAGAAGTGGCATAGCTCTTCTGTGACAGTTTAGAATGGATGGGGCTGTTTCTTTGTTGAAGACTTACTGTAGGTTGGTTGGTATATCGTAACCATTGCATTTGCTTCTTAAAACTCTTCAGTACTTACAATGTCAAAAACTCATAGTTTGAGTAGTAACCTATTCAAACTATGAGCTGCTTACTAAGAAACTCAAATATAATTTCTATCACCCACCCATGATATGTGCTTGTTCAGTCTCTGGGTTAACATACAATGCTTTCAACCTCAACATTCACCATTGTTGATTTCAATGTTTTATTGTTTGTTTAAAAGATAATATTTGCTGGAGTGATATGTTTGTCATGAGTAAGTGATATGCATTTGTTCTTGTTGGCTAGTCATGCAATGAAGTGTACAATGTAATGAGAAGAGCGCTACACTAAAGAGTGTTACACTTCACCTCAGTCCCCACTTTTGTCTCTAGTTGAGCTGTACCACCTGTCTGGGAACTAGTTTCTAGTAATTAAAACCTAAAATGGACATGATGATCTTCATGTACCTCTATACATCTGTGACAATAGTTTCTAAATGGCTTATTCAAACAATGGACAAGCAGCGTTGGAAGCTGGATAGCATAAATAAATTCAGGACTCGTAGAAGTGATATTGCCATGTCATGGTCATTTGCCCAAATAATGCACATAAGAAATTGAATCAGTGTGTACAGTGTTAAGGGCATACACTAAAGGAAAGGAAAACTACACTTCAAATTAAGACCAAGTATGATTTGATTTTCCTGGTCTTGAAAGAATTCTGAAATATGTTGAAACCCAGTATCAAGTTGTTCCACAGCTTTCTAACCCTAAAGTCTTCTGTCTATCTAGCATAGACTTTTCAAAGATTAGCAATGTTTTCACATTTTGGGGCTCCATACCAACTCTTTACAGAGCTCTAGTTTCAGTTTACCACTGTAGTTGTCTGTAAACTATTTAGGGGAAGTATTTCTTGTGGTTCCAGAGAATCTTGCCATCTTCTAGAAAGTGTTTGGATGCAGAAGTGGGACATGCTGCTAAATAAATTGCAAGCATGAATGCTCTTATAATTGTCTATGCTCTGGAGAGGGAACTAGGCCCCTTCTGACACTGATTTTACAGTCTAAGCTTCTGCAGGAGCCAAGGGTTATTTTTAACTTCAGAAAGTTTCTGTGGCCTAGACAGTGTCTAGGTTTAAAGGCTCTCCTTTTCAGTCTTCAGTGTGATTGGATGTGACACACAGGGCACTTTATGGTTATATTTTAATGTTCCAGCATGTTGATGTAATTTTGTGCTTAGTTGGTCAGTAACATCAGGGCCTGATCTGTTTTCTCTCTTCAGTTCTAGTTTGGTGTGGGAAAGGATAGTCAAGTTGAATACAGCACATTGGAATGCTGAAACCTCTGGCAGCTTGAGGGTTGTTATGTACAAATAGGAAGCTTACTGGTACTGGGGCTATGCTTCAGAGAGTTATTGAGCTTTTCCTCAGTGGGGCAATGGCACATGCAGCAGGGAAGCTTGTTTTGTTAGTCTTATCTGCCTTTTAGTTTTTTAGTAACAATTCTTTTCCATGTGTAGTTTCTACTTTGATTGGCTACTTGTTCATTTAACTATAGTTTATTCCTATAGGAGAAATCTTGATCTATAGAAACATTTAGGTGGGTGACTGCTGCATGAAATACATTTTTGAGTTGGAAGATAATTAATGATTTGGGCTAGAAGTCTTTTATAGTCCTTCTCACTTCACTTCCTAAAATGCCAAGTTTAGTACAGGGATGGTGACGGAATTGCTTATTTATGCCTTAGACTAATACAGTGCCTCAATATAATCACAGGACATCTCTAATTTATTAGAGTTTATGTAAAATAAACACTGGCTGATACAGAATTTAACCCCAGTAAAAGAAAATTTAACCTATCTATTTTTTTTTTCAAGAGGGGCAGTCACTCTATGTATCCCCTCAACACACATTATCATTAGATGAGAAGCCCATTTCAAAA